AGTGGGGTGGGGGGCGTCAGCAGCACCTCCGTCGGGCACTTCAGCTCAGAGCCTGAACGAAGGAAGAAGTTCTCCACGCTCTTACTTCGAAGGATGGTCTTGAGGGAGAGCGAGCGCTTGAACCGCTGGAGCTGGGAGGAGAGGAGCTGTGAGCTGAGCCGGCCCAGCCCGCCCAGAGGGGGTGGGTTCAAAACCAGCCCCACCCCCAGGAGGTCCCCAGCCCAGTGTGGCCAGGTCTTCCCCTTTCTGTTTTGATTTCCAAAAAAAAATCTAGACTTTTATGTAAAGCCAGATGGAAACAAATCCAGGAGGTTTTTATCCCTTCCTCTGTGGTCTTGTTTGTCACTTAGCAATCAGTCTTGGAAATCGGTCCCTCTCAGGACATAAAGAGCTGCATCTTCCTTGTTTATGGCTCCACAGCATCTCACTGTGTGCGTATCCCAGTGACCCCAGTTGTGAAGTAGCAAACTCCTAGCAAACAAAGCCGTGTCCCACCTGAGATCTGCAGCGGAGAGAAGAGGGGTGGCCATCCTGGACCCCCTCCGGGAGTGCAGCTGGTTCCCAATCCCTGACAATCACCTCTCCCCTCTCCCAGCCTGGCTTTCCTTCAGGCCCCCACACCCTTAGTCTGTTTGTGGGCTGCAGGACCCCTGCCTCCTACCTTCTCCTATCACAGCCCCACCTGCCCTCCACACAGCTCCCTGGACAGAGGTGATCGCTGGGCCCACGGGAAACCTGTCATGGTTCTGTGGGACACAGCGCCAGCTCCTCACCCCGGCCAGGAGCCTCCCAGGCAGCTGGGCCAAACTGTCCTCCCCGCCTGCTTTCCACTGGCAGCCTCTCAGCCTCTGACCTGTGCCGGTTCCAAAGAGTACTTTATCCTTTAAGAGACGCAGCGGGTTAAATGCTGGGCTGCTAACAGACAGGTGGGCGGTTTGGCCGGAGCTCAACAGCCCATCTGAGCAGGAAAGATGGGGCAGCCAGGTTTCCATAAAGGGGTTCCCAGAACCCCTCGGAACCCCACACCCCACACTCCCCAGGGGCAGTCACTATAAGTCCAAATCAACTGGACAGCAGTGGGCTAGCCCTCAGCTTTCCAAGAGCCCCTCCTCCGGGAAGCTTTCGATTTCATGGGAGCGCTCCCTCCTCTCCCCCACCCCACCCCCAGCACCGACTTCCAGTCCATGACGCCCCCTTTGAGAGCAGAGATGGAAAAAGGAAAAAACAAAACAACACCCTCGTTCTGTGCTGTGCCGTCAATTCCAAGTCCGAGCCACAAACCCCAGGAGCTCAGAATAGAACTACGCTCCTCAGGGTTTTCCCTGGGGGTGCTCTGCCGGAACAGGTGGAGTCGAACCGCTAGCCCTTCAATGAGGAGCGGAGCACCAGCCATTGGCACCACCTGGGACCTTCGAGGGCAGGGACTGTCACTTCAAACCCCCACCCCCACCCCGCTCCCCTGCAGGGTCTCAACACATGGGAGGCGTCCTGTCCACAGAGAAAGAGGCTTCAGTGCCAGGTCTTCAACAAGCCACGCCCTGGAGGCCCGGAACTGCGAAGTGAGATCAGAAATGGGTATCCCCCGACCCTTCTCGCTCACCCAAAGGCACCCGACCGAACCTGCGCCTCCGCAGATCCTGGCTCCCCTCCCCTCCTGATGAGAGCCCTTATCCCTGCCCACTCCTTTCCAGTAATAGAGAGGGGCCAAGACCCAGCCTCAGGCAGCAAGATTTGGCAGGGGTTCCCTGCTGCTGCGCCGAGCAGCTTGTAGGCCAAGGGGGGTGCCAAGCGGATGGCAGTGGTGGCCCCTCCAGCCTCAGGGAGGGCAGCCAGCAGCAAGATGGAGGGGAAGTGGTGGTGGGGGGGAGGGGGGCACAAGCCAGGCCTGTGCGTGCCAGCTGAAAGGTCAGAGCCCCAAGCCGTCTGGCACACTGAATCACTGGTGGCACACTGAATCATGGGGCTCCTTCCAAATGCAACCCAGAGAACTGGTCAGCACTGCCGGGAAGGCCTTCTTTGTGTGTCTTCGAGAAGCAGGGTCCCAGGCCCCAGATGCCTGCCTGGATAGTTAATTAGAACAGAGACTAGCCCCATCAGACCAGCGGTCGGTCACCGCAGGGCCCAAAGCCAGAGACTCTCAATGTTCTGCCAGGGGCTGCTGGGGTACAGCCCATGGGGCCTCTGGGAGCAAGTACTGGAAGAGGGAACGGAATGAAGCCAGTGCCTGGAGGCATGTTTCTTCCCAGCGTCAACGGAGCAAGGCAAGATTCTGGGTCCAAAAAACAGACGGGCGAACCTCACTCTGTGCAGGGCTGTCATCTCCAGAGCTAATGCCCCCATCACCTCATTCCATCCTGGCATCACCCTCTAACCTCTAAAGTGGTGAGTATGGTCCTATGGTCCTGCTTTTCAGATGAGTGGGGAGGGGCGGGGCTCAGAGAGGTGAAATCACTTCTCCGGGAGCCCTCAGCTGGGAAGAGGCGGGCGGGCGGGCGGGCATATGGGGACCTAAGTCCAAATGGCCAGGGGCAGCCTATCAGCCTGTTGCTTACTCCTGTCCCTGTGTGGTTCCAAGGACCCGCCTGCCAGGCCAAGCATGGAATTTAGAGTTAGGGGGCATCTAGTCACCTAGGTCAGTCCCCGCCCTGTCGACCACCGTGGCCTGTCTTCCCTGAATGGTACTGGAAGCTGCCTGCCTGGGGTTTTGCCCATCAGTCCTTGTTCCTCCCAGGCTCCAGAAGGGGCGATGCCCCCTTGCGAACGAACGTCATGCTCAGAGGCATCCTTCACCATCGCCCACTCTCAAGGCCACATTTCCATAGTCATCTCATAGGATGTGATTTTCCCAGCAGGATTGAAGTTTCCCAGATCTCTAACCTATGTCCTTTCCTGGTCCTCCCTGGCCTGTGTCAATAACCAGGGCACCAGATGCCGCTGCCTCTCTGGGGAATGTTCTTCAGCAGCATGGTGAAAGGCCACACTGGTTCTGCCCCCTGGCTTCTCTGTGGAGTCTAGATCCCAGGAGCATGGGAAACTGGGAAGGCATGCCATGCCATTTGGAGTAGTTGGCAGATGTCAAACAGGCAGTGTGGTTGGAGGGCAGAATGGTGGTATTTCTGTCAAATGGCTGAATGTCTGCCCATTCCAGAGATGCCCGCCTCAGCGACCCAAGCCTCATCTTGCCCAAGTATTCCTGTTCCTGGGACTTCTAATTCCCGGAGAGGACCGTTCCTCATCTCCCCACCAGCTACCTTCTGGCGACCCCCCACCACCCAAGACATGGCATGGGGAGAAGCCTCCAAATGGCCAGAGGCAGCCTATTGCCCTGACAAGCCAGCTGCCTGAGTCCTGTCCTTTCCCAGTGTACCAAGAGCTTGCCTAGCTTGCAGCCTGGGCCACCAGACTTGTTCTAAAATGCCCCTCAGAGACCAGGCCTGACCTGCCTGTTGCGTCTCCTCTCCACCTCCCCACCCCAGGGACAGAGTCCGGTCCCTCCTTTCCTCAGTTGCCAGCACCATCTCCTCACTTCCTGCCCATTCCTAAAAGGGCACCAGGCAGCTGGTGGTGGGCGGTGGCGGATGTGGCACAAGCTGACTCAGATGGCAGGGCTGTTATAATGGGGTCTTCTCAAGGATCACCCAGAAAGGGGGTGATGGACAGGCACTGTCCGTTCCCGGAAGGGTTGCCCAGTAGCTTGGGGACAGGGGTGAGACACAGCCCTTAGAATGGGCAGAGGGCTGGATTCCGGGGCTGCAAAGAAACATCCAAGGCAGCTGAACTGGCCTGGGATGTGGTTTCTTTGCCTGCCGGGCACCAGCTCCTCTGCTGTACCTGGTTCACACTGAGATAGTGTGGACAATCACCAGCAGCCCCCCTTCCAGTTTGGAACTTAGGCGTCTTTGTGCCAGACTGAGGTCCAGGTCTTCGGGAAGGCTGACCAGCGCCCTGTGTTCTCTCTCTGCTCAGCCCTGCCCTAGTCCGCCCTATCCCACAGTTCTGTGAGGGCTGTGTGGTCCCACTTACTGAGTCAGTCTTTCAGAAGGATGGGGGAGAGGGGAGGGGCAAAGGGTGAGAGCTATAATTGTCCTGGCACAAAGGGACCATCCCCCTTTCCCCCCTCCTGGTGTTTGGACCTCCATGGTGCAGACCCAGAGGTGATGGCATTGTAGGAGGCAGAAGCACACCTGGCAGGTCCTGAACCTCTCCCCCCCCCCCCCCCCCCCCCACACACACACACTTTCTGAGCTGGCTGCAGCTGTGAGGTAGGATCGCTGAGGCAGCACTGCCTGGCACTCCTGCTGCCTTGGGCAGCTCCTGAGGAGGGGGTGGGGCAGGAAGGTCTCCCCAGTCCTAGGGAAACAAGCATAAAGCCTTGAATGTCTGCCCAGGGTAACTGAGCTCAGGGGTATTAGAACTCCTGGGACCCTCTCCCAAGCGCCACTCTGCTCCAGTCTCTCATTGCCTTGTTGGCTGGCTGTCAGGGGACACTGGAGTCCAAGGAAGAGTTCATTTGGCCTGTGGTCTGAGAGACCAGGGGCTCAGCCTCAGAGGGGGCAGGTTGGCTATGATTGTGCTTGGGTTGGGCAGAGTGACCCCATGGGTTCCAGGGACTTCAAGATAGGGTGCTTTAGCCAGACTCCAACCTAGCCTTATTCCTCTCGCCCTGGTCACTCCTTTGATGACCTTGACCTTGAATTAATCTCCTGTTGGTCGGGGTGCTCAGCCATGTAGAGGAAGAGGGGCTCTGGGAAGGGAAGGGTCGAAAAGGAGCCAGAGATACTGGGAAGTCCGAGACCCCACCGGTCCTAGTACTCGCTGGCTCTCCTCACCTGGTGGAAGAGGGGCAGGATGGGAACCAAATGCCAGGGAGAGGGGGGGTGGGCGAGGGAGGCCCTCCTGCACAGACCCCCTGCGCTCCCCAACCCCAGCCCGGCGCAGGTGGCTCTGTAGAACTTACTCGGATCACTCCACTGCACCTAGACCTCGCGAGGGGAGCGGGCAGGCTGGGGGTGAGGGTGGCATAGGAGTGGTGGCCTCCCGCCACTCGCTTCAGTATTTGGAGTCTGGCTCCGCCCGCCTTCACAGGGGAATAATTTATTCATTGTGACTCCCGCAGGAGTAACAGTCATACATAATTAGGGTTAATTATGACACTCATTAATTACGACGGCTTTTCTTTTCGCCTCTTTCTCCCCCGCCCCTCCTTCCCCAGTCCGGCTCTGGGGTGGGGGTGGGGCAGCCTGGGCTCGGGAGCCGCAACCTCAGGGCGACCGCCCCGC